GCTACTGTGTGATTCCGGTTTTTCTTGTTTACATTTAATCTATCGTCTTTTTGTCAATTTTTGGCTTAAAAGGGGGAGTAAAATGTTTGCTTTGTTTTCTGTCACTGATGTTAGATAAGATGTCATATGTGTACTATTTCTTGGAAAGAGTAGTTATGTTTGCTGAACTTGTGAAACTATTTAGGGGGAGCTGAGCTGCTCATGTTGCTGCCAATGTTGTTGTCAATGTTGATGGGCAATGTTGTGCAACATAATCTGACATGTTGTGGTGATGAAGAACCATGGTTTCTCTATGGTTGTTTATTACTCTGATACTCTGAGTAATTTGTGTGGCTTATGTTGTATGTGTTTCTAATATGTGTGGCTTCTGTTGTATGCATTTCTAATGCATGAACTTGGATAGTTCATGATTTTATGCCTTGTGCTTTGGGTTTTCCCCTTTAGGGGGAGTATTTGGTATGTGTGACAGGGTAAGAAATGGATGTGTCTGAGGTTGCTGAGTTGAAGCTATGATGTCAGACTACATGTCTTGACATCTGATCGCTGGAGATTTTTGAGGTTGAAGGAGTTGTAACCTCTAATGACCTGTAGTTGAACCTTATATCTAATATTTTTTTGATTGCAGGTTTTGTGGTATTATTACTCTTCTCCAGAATTGCTGAAAATGTTATTTTAGCCAAAATTTGCCAAAAGGGGAGATTGTAAGTTCTATGTCTTTTGGATTGGCTGCATTTTGGTAAAACAACATATTGTTAGTAAGATGTTGAACCTGTTATTCTTGCCATGACAGTCAGACATCATGTTCTACATGATGTTGTGACATGTTTTAGGACAAGTTATACCAGATAGTTATGACATGACTATTTTAGTATTTTGAGTGTAATCCTCGAGTATGGTCTAATTCACAATGCGCCGTCCAAGAAAGGATATTTTGGGAACTTCTGTTTTGACAGATTGTGATGTTTTTCTGGAAAAGGATTGTTGATCCTTTTTAGGAAACTTTGTATTTTGTTCCTATTTTATGCAGGAAATTGTGTTTGTGATTCCAAGTTGATTCCTGATGAATTCTGCCTCAAGAAGCCCAAGTTCAGTAGGTCTGAAGGCTATTTAAAGAAGACCTAAACCTAATGAAGAGACTGTTTTTCACTTTTGTAAAAACTAGGGAAAATTTAAAAACTTGGGTTTTGAGAGTCTCTTGTGTGTGACTTTGTAAGTCACCCATTGTATCTTTTGATACATCGTGCTAGACATATTGCTTGTTGTATGTTATTCTCACTCTAAAGCTTTTAAGCAAAGGAGTTGAGTATTACTCTTGGTTGAAGCTGTGAAGCAAAACCAAGTATTGTTCTTGGTCAAGATTCTTTACCTAGTATTGTAGTAGAAAAATGGTACATCTTTCTTTTTGGTTTCTCGTGGCATGGTCATTAGGATTATGACAGCTTGTTAGAAAGTGAGAGGGGGATCTCATATCTAGATGGCGATTTCTAGGTAGAAGTAGCACAAGATAGTGATTAGGCGAGAATTTATAAACGGGAGAGTTTAGCTTTGAACTAATGTTATCATAGTGGATTTCCTTCTTGGCTTGGATGCCCCCAGATGTAGGTGAGTTGCACTGAACTGAGTTAACAATTAACCGTGTTATTTATCATTATGTAATTTACAGTTTCTGCATAATTAAAGATTGATAATAGTTTTGTCAGACTTAAGGTGTCATAACATCTACCTTGACATTGTACTCTGATGTTGGGACATCAGAATCTCCATCATGTGTAGCATGTGCCAGAAAATTTCATGTTTCAAGAGAGACATACACCCATGACACTCTAGTACAATCATCAATAAAAATGACAAACCAGCGGACCCCAGATATATTTGGAACATTAGATGGCCCCCAAACATCACTATGGACTAAGGAAAAAGAGTAGACATTTTTTTTATTATTATTAGGAAAGCTAACATGTTTGTGTTTAGAAATTTCACACTCATCACAATGAAAAATTCCCAAGTTTATACCTTGAAACAAGGTGGGAAACATATTTTTGAGAGTGTTGAATGAAGAATGACCCAACCGAAAGTGACGCGACCAAATTTCTTTATGGAGGGAAGGAACGGACTCTGACAACAAAGATAGTTGAAGTTAACTCTTAATGCTACTTGTCCCACCTGCTTCCATAGAAAGGTAGAGCCCATTGTCCTCTCTAGCAAGTCCAATCACCTTCCCCGTTTCCTGATCCTGAAATTTGCAAAGTGTATGAATGAATGTCACTATGCATTGTAAATTTGTTGCAAGTTTGTGAATGGATAACAGTTTGGTAAATAATTTAGGCATATGAAAGACATCTCTCAAAATTAAGTTATGACTTAGGGGAACATTTCCCTTTCCAGCAACAGTAATAAAAGTGCCATCTGCAGTGGCAATCTTTTTATTACTTGGACAAGGTTTGTAAGAGATAAACTCAGTAGAGGAATGGGTCATGTGATTCGTAGCTCCATAATCAATTATCCATGTCCCTTTTGTTGTAGATTGTATAACGCTAAGAGCATAGGCATGAGAAATACTTGATAATGCCACATAAGAACTACCTGTGTTTGTGGGCTTGACTAAAGAGTCTAGTAATTCCCTTAGTTTTGTAATTTCTTCTGTGTTAAAGTCTGCAGTAGATTTGGAATGACTTCCCTCGACAACGCCTGATTGGACCAAGTGGGCATGTGTTGGTCCTCCTCGTTGAATGCCTTTGGTGTTCCAACTTGGTTCTGATTTGGTGGTTTTCCATGAAATTTTTGGCATTTGTCTTCGGTGTGCCTTGGCTTCTTGTAGAAGGTACACAATAAAGAATTCTTGTTATCCCCTCTTTCAATCTCCATTTTGGTGGATCTTCTAGGTTAATTGTTTTTCCATTGGTCAATGTTCTTCTCTTGGTTTTTGGCTTCTAAGGCAGAACTTTTTGTTGATTGGGGCTTCATCATCACTCCTCTTCGCGATTCTTATGTTCGAAAGGCAACCATGGTTTCATTTAGTGAGGATAACTCTTTTTCGAGTACTTGGATCCTTATTGGATCACACTCGTTGTTCAGACCTATAAAGAACAAATAGATTTTGTCCTTCTCCTTATAATATTTTTAGTAATGTAGCATTTGTTTGCATTTTGCTTCAAAATGTTCATAATGATCCAACTTCAACCATAGATTTTGTAGAGTTTGGGCATACTAACTAATGGATCAGTCTTCTTATTTAGTAATTGCAAACTTCATCTTAGACATATACTGAATCTCCAATTTATCTCAAACAACATTCAAAGATGTTAGGCTCATGATATCATACATCACCTCGTCTCATACACATAGATGTATCAATCCCGCAACATTCTCCTATAGCTCTGACCAATTTGCGCTTGTTTGTCATGTCTATCGATTTTGCTTGTCATAGTGTCTTTTGTAAAACTAGTTGAGCCAACAAATCTTCAAACCTCTTTTACATAATCTAAAATTGCTCATTTTGTCGGCATTGTTACATCGAATTTTATTTGATACCAGTTTTTGAAACAATAACTAGCAACAAAGAAAAAAATAGAAACACAAATTGCAAGAATTTCATTTGATACCGATTTTTAAAACAATAACTAGCAACAAAGGAAAAAATAGAAACACAAATTGCAAACAAAAGGCAATATTTATTTGCGCAATTCTCCCAAGTGTCGGCATTCAGCACCACAACAGGAAAATTGTAGTTTCATAGGGTGCAAAAATTACGTGTGGCAAAATGGGTTGTACGCCCCGTCTAAAGTTCGTTAAAGAAAAAACACGAGACGAGCAAACCCACCAAATAAAATTGAACTTAAAGATCTAGCATACCCCACTAAAATGACGGACTTGCAGACTTGCCAGTCTATTTTTTAACTTATCTATTTTCACTTTTTTAATAGATTAATGGATCTTTTATACATTTTAATTAAATTTTTTATTTATTTTTTAGAGCAATTTTTTATAAAGCATTTTTTAAACAAATTTTATTTTAAAAATTATTAGATATATTCACAAATAAATATATAAAATAAAATAATTGACATGTCAATAAACTATTTTTTAAATAGTTTTTTTTGGCGAGCTGACGGATCATCCACCCCATTATGTTTTTCCGATTTGACCGGACAAACTGAACTTATAAGTGAACTATTTTTTAAATAGTTTTTTTTTCGAACTGACGGGTCATCCGCCCCATTATGTTTTTCAGATTTATCAGGACAAACTGAACTTATAAACAAATCGTCCGTGCAGACCACAGCCTATTTTGTCACCTTTTGCAAAAACCCACCTCGATAGATATATATATATATATATATATATATATATATATATATATATATATATATATATATATATATATATATATATATATATATATATATATATATGAGAAAAATAAAAATCATTCCTTCTCAATTTAAATTGACTTTTCCACCATATTTAGAAGACTTAAAATGGATTTAAATAATTTGAAATGCACTGGTTATAACTTATAAGAACCTTCCCAACTGTACCTATAAAATATAATATGACATATTATAAAGAATAAAAAAAAAATCAGCTTTAAATCCTCTCTTTCCTTCTAAATTCTAAATAAGGAAGGTCCTCTATTAAAAAATTGATTTTACAATATCAAGTCTCAAAGATAATTATTCTATATATAATAATATATTACTCTTCAAATTTTCCCAAAACAACATTGCTAACGATGTAATACAACAACTAGGACAAAATCACTTACTTGATTACTATTTAATAGAATAGATGATGCTACAAAGCTCAACCATTATTAAATACAACTACAATCTTAATTGCAGCTGCTACAAGTAATTTAAGTGAAACAGGCAAATAGAAAGGAAAAAAAATTTGTAGAAAACTCATTCATCTACAGAAAAATTATGGAAATTCCAGATTCTGTTGTTGGGAACTATAATATAATATAGTAGAGTACAACCTGGATGGTAGATGGTAGTAATCTAACTGTGAGAAGAGGAACCAAGATTACCATTTGGAACGGTTCCTGAAACCGCATTGCCTTCGGGGTTTGCTTGGTCGTCATTTGCATGGCGAACGAAATCTTCGGGGGTCATGTGAGAGCCATGACATGCACAGACGATTCTAATTTGGTTAGTGTTGTACCTGTAAGTAACACCTGATATTGTTCTCCCGTTTGAGTTTGTGGTCGATACCCAAGGCAGATTTGGGTACGCACCGCATCCTCCGAATTTCACATCTGCAGCGAGCCCTGGCTTGATATTAGAAAAATCAATTGTCGAACCTTCAACTTTCGACTGTTCTGATGCATCTTTGCCCCTGAGGTTTGTGCTGCTTCCTTTCACATCTTCAGGTTGGGAAAAGGAGCCTTCTTCGGTGACACGCTGTTTTCCGTCACTTTTGGCTCGTTCTAGTGGCCTTCCTTCGTATGGCATGGCCTCAGATATATTGTTTAGGTGTAACGCAGCTGCATCGACACAATAATGCATTATGTAATTTCCAAGAAAAGAAATGTCTATAATTATAATTAGCTTTCTTTGTATAAATTGGCTCCAACTCAATTTAATATGCAAGTCTTCCAACCAATTTAGAATATTTGGTTCTGTTTTGCGGCCATAATGCACTTGGGAATACATAGGCACGATCTAAACCATTCAACAATTTATCAGTTACCTGAGTTAGTCGGACCTCTCCCAGCAAAGGATGGATGAAATTGTTGGGGACGTCCCCATGAGCTATCTTTATCCAACATAGGAAGCTGAACATACGGATGTCCGAACATCATTGGCAAGTTTCCGTTACTCACAGATTGAGCTCCTGCGCGTTCACCGGTTGCAGCCGGCATCATATGCATCACTCCAGGTATTTGAGAACTTGGTGCTCCAACAGAGTTTGAATCTTTTACCGAAGTGTAAGGTACATTCATCATATTCACTGGTTGAGCCGAGAAGGTAGAACCATAAGTCATGTTTGCATGTTTAAAATCTTTTTCTGTTGATGCGGTAAACCTCTTCTGCCCGTTGGCACTTGAGTCAGCGACTCCACGAATCTCTTTTGGAGCATCGGAAGAAGCACCGCCAACTCTAACAAATCCTTTGGAACCATCACTATGGTGCGAGAGAGGCCTGGAGGTAGAGTTCTCAGCTTCCGAATCAGCCACGTCTTCATTTTCTGCAGTTGAGCCATCTTCTGTTAAAGAAATATGAGAAGCTCTTGCCCGGTCATGTAAATCACCATGATGACCATCGCTGTCATGCCTCTTTTGATTACGTATGTCATCGAAAGACATTCTCCGCTTATTTACTACCTCTAACCGTTTATTTTCATCGATTTCAATAGGTTTATTATGGCTGTTTCCAACAAGAAACCCTCTCCCGTTCAAATTCAAAGAAGCATTATCTTCTTTGACCTTTGAAAGGTCACTAAAGAAATTCTCCTCGTGCTTCGAGGAATCAGCCCTTCGGGTACTAGTGATTGATTCCGGCTTCTGAGGATCGGTATTAAACATGCTCTTAAAATCATCCACCATCTTGCCACCTCTACCAACTTCTTCTGACCTAGTATCCGAAGAGCTTCCATTCTTGCTCTTTGGTTTGGATGATGAACCACCATAAGATAAACCCAAACTGAGCTCAAGCCCGCTATCGTCCTCCATATTGCAATATCTCCAAACCTATCAAAATTCAAAACAGATCAAATAGCTAAACTCACATCAATTTTTAACCATCCTCATGTATCTATATTCAGTTTGATTTTAAACAAGAAAACCATATCAGTTTCATTCATGCATACTCAAATAACCAAAATGGTAAGCTAACAACATAATTACAATTTCTATATAAGGTATGAAGCACATACACCTCTAAGAGTAGGCGTATCGCGGTATCCGACACGCATAGCTGTCTGTCAAATGTATGACACGCGTCGGAAAAGACTTACAAATGTCAGAAAAGTCAAACAAGTGTCCCCCAAAAAATAGTTTTTTTCTTTGTTTTGACACTCTTTGAATCGGTGTCCGACACTCGTACGACACTCCCAAAACACGTGTCGGACAACTCAGACAAGCGTTTCAAATAAAAATTGTTTTTTTCTTTCTTTAACACACCTAATACATTTTGGACAAATCCTTTAGACATTAAAAGGGTTAAATATGTATCGCAACAATGTTATCAATGCAAAATTAAAGACATCAATTTTTTTTTTGGTTTTCACCACCAGTTTCCGGCCCACTGGACCGCCTAATCTGGTTCGGGGGTCGGTTCTCGCATCAAGTGGTTCCAGCCCCCTCCCGATCGCAATTCCGGGGGATCAAACCGTGGTCCTCCCTACCCAGCGACAATAACGACCAACTAACGATTGGTTAAAGACATCAATTTTGATTATAACATTTTTAACTTTTTTAATAATAGATGGATAAATGAATATTAAATACTATATTTAGTTGGGTCGGTGTCCTATGTTTTTGACAAAATCAATCTTGGAGTGTCCGTGTTGTGTCGTGTTCCGGTGACTGTGTCTGAGTCTATGCTTCAAATGAGACACAATTAAAAACAAACAAATCATTGCTATCTCTTATCTATACTCAAGAACAGATCAGATTCCATGAAGAATTCACAAAAATCAAAACACAAACAATTTCCTTTTCAAACAAAAATAATAAACAAGTAACCAAAATAGACCTAAAAGATATTCATCCAAATTCAGAAGCATCAAAATTAAGGAAGTAAATCAGGTTGAAACCTCACCTCAGTCCTGATCTAAATCGTTCCCTTCTCACTCTCTCAACTGATGTGAACAATTCGTTGCTTCCACCCTAATCTGAAGTAGCTCAACCAATGGATTATACCAAATCTATAGCTATAGGATCAACCTCTTTTCAATCATCAACTTCGAAGCTTTCTTGTCCCAATTCGTTGCTTTAACGTGAACAAAAAATGGGTCAGGATCCGATCGAAGATTAAAAGCTTGGTTTATGAGATACAAAATTGGGGAAGAATCTTAACAAATAAAAAATTGTAAAAAATTGAAATTAGGGTTCAGATGCAAATGATTGAAGAGTGAAGAAGAGCAATAGCATAAAAGGAAGAAATGAAAAAACCTGAATTTTGGAAGAAGAGTGATGATCAATCAAACCCTAAGTTAGGTCTCCATTTTGCAAGAGATCAGTGGAAGATTGAGAGTGGGGCAAAAATATAGCGAAAAATGATGAAAAGGATAATATATTTTTTAATAAAAATTTGAAATTAAAAAAACAATTATCAATTTTGTCATTTGCCAATGTGATTCTCATGGTGAAGCTATGAATGTGATATTAATGTAACTGTAAAAAAAAGTTATTTTTCATTTTACATTTAATATTTTATATAGGAAAGAAGGACAAAAAATGTAACAAAAGTTATTTTATTTTTTTATACAACTAAAATGGATTATGCATCATTATCTTATTTATTGAAAATAACTTTCAACAAATCTTTAAAAAAAACATGTCATTCTTAAATATAAAGTAATACATAAAAAATAAATAAACATCCTAATAACTCTAACTTTCTTCATTTAATATTTTATTTATTATTTATATATAAATACTATTTTTTTTTAAGCGAAAAAACAACTCAAATATCATTAATGAGTTATCCTATTTAGGATGACAAATGAGCATGTCCGTTCGATTTAGATGTGTTCTACAAAAGTTTACAACAACAAAAAAAAGAGTGAAGCAGGGTGAACATTATTGAAGGCGCATGCCTAAAATCTTGACTCGTCTCGCGAAAAAAATGATGGTGGAGTGGGGCAGGCTTGCCGGCAATGCATCTTTTTAGCATAAAAATTACAAAAATTTATGTTAATGATTGTGCCCTCAAAAGTTCGCAAAAAAAGGGCAGGGTTGGCGGACATATTAGAGGGTGCGAGTCTAAAATTTTGGTCCATCCTACAAAAAAGTGTGGGTAAATGGACATGTCCAATGGGTCGACTTGTTTTGTCATCCATAATCCTATTATTCTTTGTATTAGTGTATCTTATCACCCCAATAGCTAAAATCCTTTAGAGTTTCGTGAGTTCAAGAAATGTACTTTGTACTAAAGTATCTTCTCACGTCCCATCATTACCAACTCTCAACTGTAAGTGCCACCTTATTATTGCCTATGAAGTGAACTTCATACAACGAATAATTTGAGAACAATTCTTATTCTACTCTCCAACGGATCTATTTATATTTTATATATTTAAAGGATAAAGAATATGGAATGAGTGTGTACTTGTGTGTGTGTGTGCGTGTGTGTCTGTGTGTGTGTGTGTGTGTGTGTGTGTGTGTGTGTATCTGTGTGTGTATGTCTGTGTGTGAGAGTGAGAGAGAGAGAGAGAGAGTTTTTGCCTACGCTGAAGCTGCAACGCAGAGAGAGAAATAACAAAACACAAGAATAAAGAAAAAGCATCCGTGCAGAAAAGAAAAGAGAGAAACACTTAGAGCTTTCGTTTTATATAATTTTAAATGTATTCATTTGATCTTCATTTTGTGTGTATCTGCTTTTTGAAGCATCTTGTAAACACAAAATATGTTATTGTAACTTTGATTGTATTCCTCAAGCGATTAGGTTGGTCAGGCTCTTGAGAAGTTAGTGATAGGTAGTCATTGAAGAGTAAATCTTCTTAAGTGACCAGGTTGGTCAGGATCTTAAGGAGTCACTGACCGTCAAATTTCTCAAGGGACCAATTGGGTGAAAGTTCTTAAGAAATCAGTGACATGTTGTCATTGTTTTTGTAATCAGTTTAATTATTGGATTAAGTTCTTTTCTAAGGCAAAATCACTCAGGTGGATGGACTGGATGTAGCTTTGTTAACAGTGAACAAGGATAAAAATACTTGTGTTCATATATTTATCATTATCCTTATTGTTTGATATATTGGGTGGCAGAAGTTTAAATCCAGAGACCCAATTCAAACCCTTATTGTTTGATATATTGGGTGGCAGAAGTTTGATATATTGGGTGGCACCTTTAAATTTTTTCCATATTTTTCTAAAATCAGACGCATGCAATCGATTGATATATGGTATCAATCGATTGACATAAGCTCAAAACGCAAAAATCTCAGCTTTCTCACATGTGCTTCATCTTCTTCATCTTTTATCTCTCACACCTCATCTCAACCCTCATTATAACATTCAAAATACAACAATTTCACATCCTATTATGACCAACACATCAATTACTCACTGATTAACATTAATCCATTGTTTTCATCATGCATTGAGTCGATTATGTTCATACCCTAAAACACCCAATCTCAACACAAATTTATCATCTAATCAGTTAACTCATGAACATGAAGCAACACAACATTAAATACAAATTTTACATCAATTCATGGCATAAAAAGGAATCATACTCATCATTTATCATATTATCATTAAGCAATAGAGAAAAAAAAACCTTATTGGAGGTTAAGGAAACCTTTCTACCCTTTCATGATTAAGGTACCCTTAAATGAATAATCTCCCCTCTTACCTAGTAACTCCAGCAAAAGAAACCTTCTATGTGATCTCCTTCCCAAAGCCCTAGCTCTATCTCCAAAAGCTCTCCAACATTCTCTTTTCACGTTTACAACAAAACTCCCAATAACCCTTATGTCCCTATTTTTCTAATTATATAATAACATGATTAAATTTCTCAAAACATCAACTTCTCTTCACTAACACGTCATAAATCAGCATAATTCACCACAAACTTCATCACCGGTCAAACACGTCATAAATCACATAAAATAACTATTTAAATAATTTAATCAATTTAATCAATATATATTTAAATAAATAAATAATAATGGCGAATTAAGTTGTGGTGTTACAGTTTCGATGTGTGCCCTAAAAGAGTGAATGACATATTTTTGACTTTAATAGCTTTCAGCTTTCCTCTTTCCATTAGGGTCATAATGCTATGTCAGCACTATCGTGCTAGACCTCATTAGAAGTTAAGTCTACACAAGCAACAAATACATAAAAACTAACAAAAGAGAGCACTTATTATGCTCTTTATAAACTACACTAAAATAGTAAAATGCAATCAATTAAGCTACTGAATGATTAGAATGAAGAGATAAATTCAAGCATTAGGTTTTATAATAATACACAAATTGTGGGTTATCAGTTGGTATCCTTCAAGCAGGTTGCAAAATCTTTGAAGTGTGCATAGACTCATTTAAGCATTTCAAGGATTAGTTCTTTTTGGTTTTGTCCCTCAACCTAACTACCCACAAAACTCTCTATGAGATCCCGACAAAGGTGTTTGTGGATTAAGAGTATTTTCATTCTATTTGATCAAAGGTTTACGGGAAGGGTGCAAGTTTAGTTGTAGATTAAGATTAGGGTTTCATTATATATTTTCTTAAACTATTATCCACCCTCCATTTTCTTTCTAAAGCCGAGTTTACATATCGACTTATCCAACTCCTAATCCATAATCCATTCACAAACCACTTTATTAATCCATTTCATTCATATCCTAATTCAATTGTCCAATTATCCATATTTTGTCCAAACCCTTTTTTTATATCCATTCTTTTTTTATCCATTTCAAAATCCATGTCCATTTCTAATTATCCAAAGATCATTTGCCATTATCCAATTCAATCCACTTATCCATTTTATTTTTTAGTATC